TCTTCCCTCTGAGGGTGACGGAGCACTGGAACAGGCTGCCCAGGGAGGCTGTGGATTCTCCTTCTCTGGAGATACTCAAAGCCCACCTGGACAAGGTCCTGTGCAGCCTGCTGTAGGTGACCCTGCTTCATCAGGGAGGTTGGACTAGATGATCCACAGAGGTCCCTTTCAACCCCTAATGTTCTGTGATCGTGATGTTCCCTTCCTTTCATGCAGATACAGCTGGGTAAAATCATGTAACTCAGCTACCTCCCCATATGCCACAGGCACTTTAGACAGTGCACTTGAGCTGCTGGCCGAACGGTGGAGGGCTAAGTTCCTGCAAAAGCTGTACTACGTCACCCTGATTTTCAAAACCAATCCTCGAACTCCCAGTCAGGCAAAAGTCAAAGACCAGTTGTTCCACTGGTTAGAGCTCCAACACCTCCCTCAGCTCAGACACTTCTCCGCAACAGCCAGTACAAAGCCCACAGGCTGGGCTTCTTTTTTGTTTACGGCCAAATATTGGCCTTATCCTTTTGCCCTAAATATTCCTGAATTTTGTGTGAAAAAGAAAAAAGGTGTCTTTGAACCCCATCTACTTGCACCCTTCCTGCCTAAGCAGTTCTTTTCACATGCTGCAAATGACTTGAAAATGAGATGGTGGAAGAGAATTTCCGTAGTCGCAGTGAGGGACAACCTGTTAGCCAAGGTGGGCACAACACAAGGGCCTTTATCACAGTGCCCTTCTCCCCCTGGCAGGTAGACTTTGCTCTCATGCCCTGTGAACACCCTGCACTGCCAACCCAATCAGATATTTTGAATTAGGTGCCCAGTAGTAGTTTTTGTTTGAGATTATGAGAAGGGAAGCTCCTGACAAAGCGCCAAAGAGCAGATGGGCTTGTGCTTATTCAATAGGTGGGCTGACCGAAGGACCTGCAAAGGCCAGTTTGCAAGTCCAGCTGTTTTAATTGAAATGCACAGAGCCTCTCACTGTCAAGGCAGACAGCGTTCTTTCACAGCAGCCAGGTCTATTTCTGACAACAGTGTCAGGCTGCAGGAAGGCAGCCAGAATCACCCTGTCCCCCTCCATCTGTTTCTGACAAACACAGCCTGGCTTGCCTCACAGAGATTATGGAGGGAGCAGCAGGCACGGTGATGGGCACAGCATTTCAATCGCTGGTCTCCAGTCTTTCTTTCAGGGCACATCACCTTGCGTTGAGAGAAGTAAAAGCGCTCTTCACAACGACACAATGGAAGGGCACAGCCCAAATCAAGTTACTGTGAGGTCCGTAACAGCGTAAGTGGGGACACACGGTACCCTGCAGCCGTGAAGCCTTTATCACCTGCAGCACAGGTGGGTACCCATGCACCCCGAAGGATAAAGACCACGCCGGATTGGCCTAGCACGCAGAATCCTGACTTTATGTAGGCCAAAAATGTACAGTGCTCACAGTCCGCTGCTAAGATATCCCACTATGCAGACTACATGGTGCAGAATGGGACAGCATCCCCTCTCTGTTATACAGCTATATATCTCCTTAGATGAGCACAGACCTTGCATACGGGTACAAGAAGATGTCAGCGCCATAAAGTGATGCTGTGTTGAGCAAACCTCCAGCAATTCTAAGATTTCTTGCAAAAGCCAAAAGATAGGGACAAAAGATAGACCTGATAGGAACCCACACTTCTACAATGACTGAAGTTCTACCAACAGATCTTGCTGTGAAAAGTGGCAGGAGTCGGGGGAGCCTGACTTCTGGAAGTAAATGACTTATTTGGTCTCTGAAGATGGCACAGCAGCTCACAACTCAAAATTTAAAGCAGCCCTTCACGTCTCAGTTCTGGTTGCCAGAGGTCAATGCAATCTTACCAGCACACCTCTTTCATCTCCCACCACAGACTCACTGCTCTTCTGAAGACGGGCTTTGTAGGTCCTTTAACATAGTACAGGCAAACACAGAAGTAGTAGCCCCACCGGAATGTTCCATCCCTCCATGGGGACAGGGAGAAAGTCTGTACCAGAGAACTGCTGGATCCTACTGCAAAGAATGCGGATGACCCAAAGCCTGGCCTGTTGCTGCTGACCACAGTTCTCATCTGTGGTACCAAGCAGGAGACAGCACCCTTGTGTGGGACATTCAGTTCAGACGCAGTCGAGGTTCTGACAGTGCAAGGCAGGAGGGCAAGGAAAGTGCCATGCATACTACAGATAAACTGGCACTAACAAGTGCACTGGAAGAACTTCTCAAGGAGAAGGAGAAAGGCAGACAGAACAGTTGATAGGGAAAAAATCCTCAGGTGAACTAAACAATAACACAGATGTAATTAGTGCAAATAAGAAAAAAATTAATGTTAGCTGTGCAAACCTAGCCTCCAAGTTCAGCCATCCCAAGTTCAAGCTTGAGAACTACCATGGCAGGAAAGAGATGGCTTCCACCAGCAAAAGAAATGAATATAATTTAATTCTCTCAAACCTCACATTCACCAAAAGAAATTAAATTACTTCAGGTTCTTCTATATGCTTCCTTCTCCCCTGCAGAATTTAATTACCATGTGTTTATTAGCAGATTTTTAAAGATATCTGTCAAATCATCAGTCTATCCTATGAGTACACAGTAGCAAACACAATTTGCAAAAATGAAACAAACATTTCAGGTAGCTTTCAAGTCTGTGAGTGATCTCAAGCGCAGACCCCCTAACTTCCTGCTTAATTTCAAGTGTTCTTCCAATTAAAACAGGTTCTAACTGAAGACATCAATGAAACCTGTACAGCCAGCTGTAGAACAGAATTCAAACGGGGATGAAATACAAAGAAGTCAGAGTAGGGGTTTTTTAT